CACGATCTATTTCACGGTATCTCACCCACCGGTGATTCTCTCGGTTATTAGGGTGCGAACGGTTATTAGCGGTCGAACGTGAAAAAAAAAAGGAAGAGCGAACGAAAGATGGGTTAAAAGAGGAAGAGCTCGTCGATGAGGAGGGTCACGTGTATACAAACTGCGAGGAGAAAATCAGTGTCAAAACTTCAATGGCTCTACCTTCGACGGATCGTCGAAAAGCCGGAACGGTTCCGCCACGCGTGAATCACAGTGCGGATCGCGATCGGTAAAGCAAAGGAAGGAATACAGGGAGGTAAAAATCGCAACGGATGAACGAGAGAGGGAAGGAAGGGGAGGGGAGCGAGAAAAAGAGAAACCTATTTGAGCTATAACGAGTCGAGAAAATGTATTCCGCTTTCTCTCTCCTCGAGCGCGTTTTGTCGTCATGTCACACGCGTGTATCTCTCTCGAAATTGTTCGCTGTATAAATAAAAGTCTATAATCTCCATCGTGCACATGATTCGCGTCGTTCCTCGTTCGAGCGTGCCGTCGTGTGAGAAACGACGCTGACGTCCGTCGACCATTTTTGCGAATGCCTATACGATACACAGGCGCGCACACACATACACACGCACGCACACGTTTACTTTTAATATATATATATATATATATATATATATATATATATAATAGATATATATATATGTATTTATATTTTCTTTTGCATGCATTATTCACACGGGGGTACGATATTTATATATGTCTTTCACGCATACACGCTCGTTCGAAGAAAAATAAATGGTATATGTATACATATTATTCCAAGAGAAGTGCGTAGATCTTATTTTGCAAGCAAAGTCGTATTCGTATATTTTCCTTAGCGGAAATCAAAATCCGAGATCGCGCCGATTTATGCAATATTGAGAACTTGTAAATAATTGTAACGAACAATTACAACGGATTACGAGTAACCGGGATAAAATTTTCGCCAAGGAAGATCCGCTTCAAGACTAACGTACTACCTTTAGCGTACACCCCACCTTCGAGTACCTACACACTCTGGCTACACACATATGTATATAAATATAACGAGCAGGATGTGCGTGTGGTGTTCTAACATCTCGTCGCTACGGCCCTAAACAATTTTGATTTTTACTTTTTTAATTTAGCTTTAGACGGATTATAATCAAAAATACACTTCGTATAAGCTTTCGTAAAGTCGTTATCTTTTGTAAGCACAAAGTATACAAGAAAATATATGTTTTCCGTTTATAAAACATCCTGTATATAGCGATACCCGCGATTCGAGGAATCAGCAGACGTCCTGCTCACACTTTCGTCCTTACATTATGTGTTTATGTCAAGATACAAACAGGGAAGAGCATTAAGGTGCCTTTTCAGGTGCTGACGTTCGACGCTCATTTTTAGCGTCAAAATTACGTGATCATAGTTGGTTTGCACGAAAAGCGGCAACATCAAATTTAATGTCAATCGTATCATTTCTAAAATGTTCAGAACAAAACAACAACAGCCTTTGACGCTGAAGCTGAGAGAATCCAGCTTCTTTTTTTTACACTAACGTCGAAGTCACGTGACTACCAAAAATCCAACATGTTGATTTTTTTAATGCTTATGTCTTACTGCTTTAATTTTTCTGTGTGCCATGGTCTTAACGCTAAAACGAGCGTCTCATGAATTTGCACCTTTAATATCGCGACGTCTCTCAATGATCGTCCAGAACTATTACTATCCTCTCCGGTTTGCCTCTCTTGCCTCTCTCTTGTCTGAGTTTGATTTTGCCTTTTTTTTTACTTTTACGAAGCTTACACCCCCCGCACTTATCTCAGTGCTCGCAATTTAGAGCGCAAGAATACTTCCTCATCGTCGATCGGCGACGATTCGAGCGGGGTGGGAATCGAGGCAGCTTCGAACAATTGGCGAACGGGAATCGAACACGAATCGCACACACATACACACACACACGCACGCATACACGCACGCACGCACGCGACAGCGAGTGTACATACATCTTTTTTTTTACCTATATTTATAATAAGCGTAATTCGAAAATTCGGCCGAGTAAAGCGCAGCACCGATCTCGGTTCGGGTTTCCGCGTTCGTTACGCGTTCGTTGACTGCCTCGATTCCCGAATGGCTGCGGAAGATCGAACGCGAGCCTGATCGAATGGCGTGCTGCTTCGTCGACGCGTCGGTGATTCGATGAAACAGATTCGGCGAAGCAGAAGATCGAGAGAGAAAGAGAGAGAGAAAGAGAGGATACGAGAGCGTGAAACGGAGGGAGAAAGGAGAGCGCGAGAATCGCCGTTGTCGTTGCAGCAGTTGCGGGGTGTATCGGAAATTGCGACTTTCTGCGGAACGATATTGTCATGAAAGAGTTGTTGCGCGCTGCCCTTACGATACGACACAACCGATGTACCCTTACTGCCTTCGGATAAGATTGTATCCGGCGGCGGCGAAAATCCCGAACGAGAATATGCGACGACGAGTAATATATATCTGTAGGGTGTAGGCTCTTGTACATTTAATTAGACACGCTAATGGAAACTCCGAGAGCGTTTCCTGCGGAGAAAAGGAGGAGGCGCGGACCTCATCTTCGCAAATCCATTATATTCGTACGACCGTTCGAGATTTTTCGCCCGGTAAATAAGGAACGTCGAGGGGAGATCTCGTTTCGCGATCACGGCACCGCGCGCGGTGCCTCGCGCGAGCGAATCGCAAGAGCGGAGCACTTTCCACAGAGTAGAGAAGCGTATGTGCTTGTGTATAGATGATTACTTTACATATACAACGATAATTAGTTTCTTTTTTTTTTCCTCTCTTTTCTTCATCTTACGCGACCCAGTTCCGTCACATCGAAGTACACATCTGCTGATTTATAATATCTTATTATTACAAACGTTCCTCTTGTCCACTGTCTAATAAAAATTCTCGAAGAATATAGATTGCTCGGTTATTAGTCTCACAAGAGAACAGACGAGAAATCAACAATTCGATATATCTCGATGTCGTAACAATGGACTAGCCAAAAAACGGAGCTGAAATCAAGCCTTGAGTCAACCGCGCGTGTGCCGGGGGGAACACCTCAACGAAATAACAGTCGCATATAAAAAAAAAAAAAGGAAGATTATTCTTAACGATACCGCGTACCGGATGAAACCCAGCGCGTTAACACTCGCAATTAATTATATTAACGCAGGACGACACACACACTAGAACTCTTATTCGGTGGACATAACAAAAATATATATATATATATATTTTTTTAGGTATCCTCTATAGTATATGAAAATTTTTTTTCCATTAAGATCGTTCCGCTTCGCTTAAAGTCATTTGTGCATCGCGAGCACGATGTCATGGCTTTATAGATGAGAAAGGTAACGTTATTTATACATTTACATAACACTACGATTTTATCCCCCCCCCCCTCCCTCACGCAAAGTGAAGACGATTTCATAACGATTTACCTTAGCTACACTTTGTAAAACTTATCGATTGTAAAAAGGCAATTTAAAATCGTCCCGTTTCCCGAGACCCGTCTAAAACGATCGAGAGGATCGATTTGACGTGACGATAATCGCTTGGATACTCATCATCGCCGAGTCGATTATTCTTAAAAACGAACGCAAACGCGGAGATGGGTCCTTGCTTGAGTTGAGGAAAGAAAAAAAAAGATGCTCTGGAAGAACGAACGACTCTCCTTCTTGCTTTTCTTTTCCTTCTTATTTTTTTTTTCTAATTACTCGACTTAATCCTAAAAGTTATCCGGATAAAAGTCGCGCGTGGTCCAGTACTCAAAGACGGGGATTTAATTGAACGGAAAAAGAAGTTTTTACCTCGTCATCGATTGCCGATACGCGAAACTTAAAATATTCAACCTGCTGCACAAACGTAACTGTCGATCTAGTCGAGAGAGGACGGAACTGTAAGTTTCATTCTTTCAAAGTATATATATATATGCGAAGGCAATTAAAAATATAGGACGCTTCAGTATTAAAAAGCGGACGAAGCACGCAAAGTATAAAAAAAGAAAAGGAAATACCCCCTGTTGGATTGACGTAAATATAAGAATGAAAAAATAACTGCGCGCGTGTACGAGTCTTTGGTGATTGGACGCGACAAAGAATGTATGATGTATGCGATCAGAAGTAATGAATAAAAAATTTAGGTATGTAGGTCAAACCTCGCGCCCCCGATAATGATAAATTCTCCATTTGTCCGCTGTGTCCATTATAATTGAAAATATATCGTTATATTCGATTGCTAAACCGGAGCCGGGAAACGAAATAAAAGGTAGGACTCAATTCACTGACCAATTCTATCCGGGATCATCATCAAGCGTAACTATTAATTCCCCGCAAGGGGAATTCAATTAAGTTCGTGGTACGTAAGTGGGGAGCCTGATCTGATTATCCTTATTGGATAGAGACTTCTATTACGCGAAGATCGAAATCTCTTTCACCCCTTTTCTTTCACATTGTCGATTTTCCTCCAATCGTCAGAGGCTATCGCGCGCCAAGTGGCACGAGTTACGAAATTCCGTGCGAATGAGACGAAAGAGACAGCGTAGCAGAGTCGTGAAAAAGAAGAATCGATAAAGATCTACGACACACTGAGTAACATACATATATGTATATATAATATATATATATATTTATATATTATAAATTATAAAACGAAATTTAAAAAAAATGCAATAAATCCCGAGCGAAAAAGTTTGATTAGTCTTGCGCGCGAATTCGTTATATGTACATAAGTACTTGTATTGTAAATGCGTGCGTTTACTCACGTACGCACACACGCGTCTCTGGGACGAATCTGAGCATGAGGAAAGAGAAAAAAAAAACGCGTTAAGTAAAAATCGATCCAGAGAAGAAACTAAAACCGGTAGAGACCCGAATAACGACGTGGTTATCCCTACAACGAATATCGACAAAATATTCATTAGAAATATAAATCTTGTTAAACGTCTCTCGCGTAAATTCAACAATAATAACAGATTATTACGAAATTTGTTATATTGCATAATATGTACAAACTATGTTTTGGTTTTCCTTATTCTCTCTCTTGGTCGTCCCTTAAATCCCTGCGCCTAAATCTAACACTTCTTAAATCGGCTCACCGTCGTCAGACATCATAACGAAATACAGTAAAAACATCTCGCAGGAATTCAAAGCGGTCGATTATCGATTCTACTCGAACGTAGACAAGTAGATCCTTTGGGAAGAGATGGTCTATCAAGTGGCAGATCTACTAACGCTAAACGATAAGTCATAAAGGAACAGCGCATCTACACATCGTATATTAGAAAGATTCTCCGTAAAAAAGCGTGTTTTTTTTTTACCGAGAACTGCAACACGGTGCAACAATAAATTACATTTTTATGAACGTAAATTTGTAAAAACAAGTAATTCGATATGACTCCCTCATCACTTTGATAAGCGGAAATTTCTTAAAATATATATATATATATGTATTTAAATATACATATTTTAAGAGCAGTATACGCTTTTCTTTAAATACTTTCTAGTTTTTCTGTGCTTTTATCTCTTATATTTAAAATGTATAAAGCGGCGCGTTAATAATGTTTCTTTTCAGGATCTATAGACGAACGAAACGTAGCGCCTAAAATACTTCGACAGTCTTCAAAGAAAGGAATGCATTGTGAATAAAAAATTATGCGGCAAAGAGTTAAAATTTGTGCAGCTGTTTTCTAATCACACACTGTACGAAATAGATTTTAGATTATTCTCTACTGACTTCGATAAGAGAAAATGGAATTATTTCAGTCGCACAATTAAACTACATTTTATGGAGTCAATCAACAAATTACGAAAGCTATTTATAAGCTTTTATAATTGCTAATGCGTTTCAACACATTAATAATTAGCTGAAAGGACCAGCAATTAAAGTTATTTATTTTCTCTTGCCCTAATACGATAATTCGCATCATCTGTCGGACTGCTACGACTGTTCAGAACGCGCGTTAACGTTAACTTGCGGACGCTATTCATACCATTACCATATCGTCGTCCATATTGATAATCGTTGGAAACGAATTGTCTGCTGAACTTTGCCTTTGAACGGGCTTCTTCCTTACGAGTCCGTCTGTGATTAATAAAAGTAAAAGGTCTTAAAGGTCTAGAAAACCTATCTATATTTATCTTAGTACCTATCATAAGCGTCTTTATTCATTTGATGACAAACAATTGTCTCAAGAATCGATCACTCAGTGTCAGTAAAGCAATGAAGTAATTAAACGCACGAGCTCTTTATAAATCCTTATAATCCTAATAAATCTTTGCCAACATAAATAGTTTTATGGAAAAAATTGTTGATCGAATCGCGTAATTGTAATTAATTCTTAAAAGATACTCACCAGCAGTAGATGGGAGTAGATCGTCGAGGGATCCATCGTCCAGATCCGTGGCTGACAAGAGGAGATCATCGTCCGAAGAAGCCCTCGTTAAACTCGGTAGAGTAGACGTCAAGAGGGCCTTTTCCTTCTGGATTTCTTGTATATGATCGACAAGTAGCGCTTCCTCCTCGTCTCCTCGATGATCCCTGTCGCGGTCCATCGCGGCCGCCCGTCCTGCAGCGCTCGAAGCGGCTATGTTCAACTCCTCCGGACTGAAGATCTTGGACGATCGTAAACTGGAGAGCCGATGAGTCGCCGTGTGACAAGCAGACTCGAGAGTATTTATGTCCGCCAGCGTCACTCGGACCACTCTCAGCTTCTCCTGCACGATCGTTTCGACGCAACGCGTCTGCCTGCCCACGTCCTGAAGGGAATCTTGCGCGGGCAGGGTCCTGTTCGTTCTGAGGATGCACGGCGCGAAAACGATGGCCAGGGCCGACGGTGACATCCTATTGTCCACCTCGTGTCGCGCCACTCGCGCCAGATGGACAATCAGGCGTTCCATCAGATCGTAATTAAGCTTCGGCAATTTCTTCAGTATGGCGAAGAGCGTGCTGATTCGATCGTGCGGATCCGTCAAGTTCGCCGCGTGCAGGAAGTCGTCGTAATATTCGTAGGTCAGCAGCGGCTCCGGCATGTCCCTGAAGAAGCTCTTCAGCACCGCCGCTAGGACGTGCACCTGATAGTTCTCGAAATCCACCTTCTCCAAGTCACCCTCGTCCATTTTCGTCTTGAGTTCTTTCACTTTGGAACTGACGCCGCTCTTCCTGTATATACCCTCGGTATAGAGACCGTGCATCTCGATAGTCGTGATCAAACGGTCTACTACGAGTGGCACTTTGCCGTCGCCGCAGTCCAACTTGTACAGCGGTACGCCGAACACCTTGCGCGAATTCGTTTCATGCAGAGAGCCATCCTTGCCGCATTCCGCCGACGCCTTCATGTAGCACTTTTTGTGGCATGTCAATTTACAATCTGAAAATATAGTCATTACAATTAATAACTGTTAAAAAAAAAAAGAAGAAATCTAAAAACGCGAATTTATTGTGTATTAGATTACTTACTCTGGCAAACGAGTCCTCGCTCGATAGGCCACATGAAGAAAGACGTGCAGACTTCACAAGCGGTGGGTATGTTGATAATAGTCAACTGGAACATGTGACTGCCGTGCCGTATGGGCTCCTCCTGCTTCCGCTTCTTCTCCTTCTTCCGTTTCTTGCTTTGCTTCTCGGGAGCTTCGGTCTTAACCATCGCCATGAATTCATTCATGAAGCCTCTGAATGCGTTCACGCCCATCGTCACAGGGAAATCCTCCCTCGTGTTCTCTTGCTTGCAGACAGTCTCCATAACGTGAAGAAAATTGGCGATCAAATCGGTGTACTTGATGTTGCCCTCCACGCCTTGCTGTATGGCGACGCTGTACGTGATCACCAGGTCGTCCTTGAACTTCCGGAGGGCATGCTTGAAAACCCGATCGACCTCGCTCGGTTTCCGTCCCTCCTCTTGACTCTCCATCTTGTAGATCTTCTTGGTGATAAAGTCTTGCATCAGCGCCAACTCCTTGGCGTCGGAGATGATCTTGTCCGTGCTGTCGGAGAAGGCCGAGGTGCCGGTCAGATTGAACTTGGACGCGACCGTTTTCGTAGTGTCGTACGGTGTGCGCGGTGGTTTTCTATTCTTCCGTCTGTTGCTCGGCGTGTTGGCGAGCAGACAAGGCATTTTCAGGACTCCGCCGTTCTGAATGCACTTGACGTGGTAGAGCTGCTTGCAGTCGACGCACTTGTAGCCCTGCGTCACGAACGCGTCCATCTTCTCGTGGCAGCACACGCACACGTCGTCCTTCGCGAATCTCGCCACCTTACGGAAACGATGGCCGGCCAGGGTGAACAGATTGTTACCCTTCCACTCGAGAAGATTCATGCCGGGCGCCAGTTTCAGATCGTTCGAGCTGGTGTCCTGTCCCATCTTGTCCTCGCTCAGACCCGAGATCTTCGTGGCTGGATCGGAGTTCCTCCTTCGCAGCTCGAGGGTCGTTATCGCGTTGGATCGCATGCGTTTACCGGGCTGCTGCACCTTGTACGTCGCTTCGTTCTTGTTCATGGGCCAATCCGTAACGGATCGAGAAGTCGAGCTCTCGTGCGGATAATCCTTCCGCGACCACACGTTCGTCGTTTTATTCAAGTCGCTCTCCTTGATCGTGCCGAGAAGCAGATTTCGCGTTTCCGGGTTGGTTTCGACCACGTTCTCGCCCATGGACCGACACTGAACCTCTCGCGAAGGTCTGTTCCGTCTTGCGTTCCTCACCGGCACGTCCGGCTCGTATTTCTCCTTCGAACGCGAGTTCTTTTCATTCGGAGAGGCTCCCCTCAGTAGGGTGCTCTTCAAAGCGTTCTCGTCGTTGACGTCCACGACTTTCATCGCGGTGTCGCCCTCCGAGTTTTGTCGTCGCAAGTAGCCAAGATCTTTGACGTTCTTGACAGGTCCATGCTTGGTTTGCTCTCGCTTTGCCGGCGATATCGGAATACTTTCCATCCGTTCGTTAGCCACGTTGTTGTCGTTGAGTCCACGCTGCTGCCTGCCGCTCGCCATGCTCTCCATCTGAACGAAGCGATCGCTCGTGTCGAGTTTGACATTATAGTTCGCCGCTTCGTTGGGCTTCTCCTGTCGGGTCGATTCGAAAACGTTATCCGGCGTACTCTTGTAGTGGGAAACGTTTGGAGAACGGGTAACGGTCGCTTTCTGAGGTACCGACATGAAGTAGTCGCTGTAATTGGCGTGCGGGTAATCTACTCTACGACGCCAAATGTCCGAACTCGGACTGTGCTGCGTCAGGTTCACGTTGGCGGGATGGTGGTACTTCACGTCGCGCGAACTGACGTACGGCGGACTGGTGTTGAAAACAGGTGGAGCACTCTGCACGGCGCTCGGCGTCTCGCTCTCCGTTTCGCCGTCGCTGTAGCCCGTCGAGGAGCTGTCGGTTCTCCTGCTCACCGAGGAGAGCCGACTGGACATTAGATTTACACTCGACGCGACCGCCGGCGAATGATCACCGCGTTTCGTTCTCGTGCTCGGCACGGGCCTCGAACCGGAATTCTCCTGCGACTCGGAACTGTTGACGCTGGCTTGAGATTCGTAACTCCTCAGACTTGTCAGACTCTCGAGACTACTCTTGCGCTCGGTGAGCTCGTCGAAGTGATACGTTTCCGTGTTCTTCAACGCTGCATCGTGTAAAATTCGCTTGTTCGGCGTGAGTTTTCGCTTGGAATACGAGATGCTTGTCTCCAAAGTACCGTCCCGGTACGCATTATCAGTCCTATAAAAAGTCCGTGATAAGCTCAAAAACATTCACTGTTGAAATTTAAATCTCAGTACTTACCTAACTGATGCGAACCGATTTTGAGATTCTACTTTTCGAGGTGATTCGCCGTACTCCGTCAGACTTCGATCTTCCACGAACGAACTGCGTTAGAAAGACACATTAAAATCACATTACAATAAGATATGAAGTTATTCGTGTTGCAATATACAACGTTATACTTACTCTTCGCTATCTTTGGCGCACACTTTATTATACATAAGCTCCTTATATTCCGGAATTTTCTTGACTTCCTGAACCTTGTCCGATAGAAGCCTCTTTCGCTTTTTCAATTCATTGAATTTCTTTCTAGCGCTGTTCCCTCTGACGTACGCCTGGAAGGTAACTACGCACAACTTCAGCTTTTTGAACCAGCTATGCTGTTTGTACATTCTCCAGGCAGTTTGTATATGTAACGCGGCCTCGGTTCTCGCACGAAGAACCTGAGCCAATCGCTGCGCCGAGACCATCCTCCAGAATGACTGTATCTGTACGATAGCGTTCTTCAATCTAAGGAATTTTCGCCTTTCCAGGCAGGCGCGGAACCACTTCTGTATCGTGGTGATGCTCGTTATGATCTGTTGATGCAGTTCGATGTCTAATTTGATCTTTTCGGACTCTCTGAGGAAGACCTTGGTAGTGCCCAACTGATAATTATCTCTGTTGAGATTGAGAGTCAGCAGGAAGTCCCTCACGTCGGATTGCGAGCTCAGAAGACCCTTCGGAAGCAGCATTCGATAGAGTTGTATAAATTCCTCGTACGTTAATCGCACGTTGAAACCGGCCTGCCTTATTCTGACAGTTTCCAGCATGCCGGTATAGCGCAGCTGTCGTTGTACCGTCTCCTCGTCGAATTCACTCGATACTTTATTGGCGTTGCTCTTAATACATCTGATGAAGAACGGATTTGCCTGATTCAGAGTGTCCATCAGACTGTGCAAGCTCTGCTGAAATTGCGCGGAAACGGTCATCGGTTGCTTTCTGGCTTTTCCCGGCCCGGTGCCGTAACTCTGAGTTCTTCCTGCGAGCGTCTTTACAGTTTGCAGATTTTTCAGGCCTTTCTTGCCGCGCTCTCTCGGCCGAAACGATTTATTTTTCCTGTAAACATTCCGATGCTAACATTTGTAATAATATTCGATATCATATAGTGTACATTCGTTCTCCCGTTATCATCATTTACTGTATCATCCATGTATATACAAACACATATGTACAAATAGTATATCACATTTGATAATAGTTTTATATGTACACAGGAGAAGGAATTACAATCTCTAAACACTACATTCTACTAACAGTGTCTTATATGTATCAAAAATTTATATCTATCTAATGTACAAAATATATCTAATATATATAGAATAAGAAATAAGAAATAGTAGAAAATTGACATGGAATAGTATAAGTAGATATAGTATAAGAAACATGGCAGGTTTAAGAGTAATAGCTAATCTAATATAGGAGATACTTAATAGATGAGTGTTACGTGATGATGGCACAAATAAAATATCAATTGTGGAATTTTAATTTACAATTATAATAAAACTTATAATTCATATTGTTCTATACGTGACATCGTTTTATGTCCTATATTACAAATTAATTCAGTAGTTTTTACGATAGTCACAAAATGAGATATATGCAAATTTTATTGTAAAAATTGTTATTTTTATAAGGAATTGTTGCAAAACATTCAGCATGCAGCAATCATCATTAAATATATAGAGAAAAATTGCAAGATTGGCGATAGTCTACATCTAATGAGAAATGATTTTATGATGGATACATGATATGTTCTTTAATTATCAAAAGATGCAGCGGTGTGTCATTGAGAAGTCAATATAAATGGATAAAGCCACGGTACAGTTTTGACTATTAATGGCTTACGAAAATGCTATTACCTACAAAAAGGAAACCCATCACCACCCGGAATCGCTATAGAGCACGTTATTAATCTTGATTTATGTAGATCAGTAAATTTTTCTCCGTAGCTTAAATTACGTTATTAAATAAGTATCGAGTAGATACGTTTTTACATACATGACAATCTGATTAGCGCGTTCCATGACGTTTGCTTCGTCTTTTGGAAGCACCCTCTCTAGCGGTGTGTGAGTATCTCGTCTGAATTTATTATTACTATGGGACTGGTCTTCCCGGCCCCGTAATACGTAACCACCCTTCGTCGACGTGACGTTCGATGGGTGTTGCGTCTGATTAATGTTTCTAAATTGCGGCCACGATAGACGATTGTTGTTTATATTGTCGTTGTTTTCGGTTTGTATGGAAGATAATGTGGCAGAAGGCGTAGTGGCCGGTGGTAAACATACACTGCGCTGCTTCTGATAACTTGTTGGGCGAGTATGTTTGTGTGAACTGAAAAATTTTCTAGTTCTTAATTATTTTCGTCGACCGACGATATTCCTTACGATTAACTAATTATCGTTCAATAAGTTATTGACCGTTTTTTAATTTTTAATGTGCTTTTTCTTCGGTCGCGCGTACCGAGCTCTTTATATATGACGTTCTCAGGGAATGTTTGTTCGATTGATGAGTGATTTGAATATAAAAGTAGAAAATATATATGAGATGATTGATATGAACTGTATAAAAGGAAATTCAGTTTTTTTTGCGTCATAAATCATGCCCAGATACAATATAACAAGAAGAACATCGTATGACAGAATGTAATTGTATGGAAAATGTCATGGAAATTGCATTCTAATTATATCTAACACGAAGAGTGCAAACATAAATCGAAATAAAATCTGTAGACACACATAACTGGAGCAAAAATGTATGGATTTACAAATTTGCTTTACTCAGAATGAATATTTTACGTTTTCTAAATTACTTAAAACTGAGGTGTTACTCGTCACTTTTATATGCTAATGTAATTTAACTTGTTGTAAATCCATGGGATATATCAACAAAATACATTTGCGAAAAATTACACATACAGTGGATCGAAAGACCACTTACGCAATTCGGTTAATAGTTAGATTGACTGTCGACAACTTCACAAGATGGCTACAAGGGGATAAAAGACATATTGGCCAATATAAATATAATAAAGAGATTCGTCTTAATTTATAAATATCAACTCTCAGAACGTGATGCATGGTATTATTGACGCACAACGTACTCATACCAGAGATGAGACAATATACAGATCAAACATATCCAAAAAAAAAACAAGCGCAACAAGCACTTTCTTCTTACACAATTCTCAATTTGATATTATGTCTTGCTTTGTTATATGTAGGTTACAGAATACAGAAGCGTTTGATACTCTTTTTCATTATCGTTCATAAATAAAAAAAACGTTATTTAATTAGAAAGTTAAGAATTTAAAACGTTACCTTATTAAATTCTCGTTGGGTGTCCTGTATCTATTTTGTACAGTCTTGTTTCCATCGACTGAAAGAAGAGGCACATATTTTTGCGTTAGTTCCTTGCATTAATTTCGAAGAATACGTCTAAACAGCGTAATTTTTAATATCTACCTCTACCATGTCTGTGCGCTCGACCGGCTTCTTGAAATGCAAAGTGAGCGCGAAAGAAGGCCCGCAGTATAGCCCATCTGAACACGGCGACCGGATCAGCGCCGACCAATTCCCGCACGAAAGCAAGCGAGGAGTTTTTCAGCACACCGACTACGCCGTCGGGTCGCATCAGGTCTAGATTCTTTTCTCTCATATTGGCAGCCTGGTACTTGACCGCACCGGCGTAATGACGTACAACAAACGCCGCTTCTCGGCGCTGCGGCGCCTCGTAGAACTGATTCTCTTTATGCACAGTGTTAAATTTCTGTAACAACGTTTCGTTCGTCGCGCCAGGAAAGCTACGAGGCAAAGTTAAATAATTATAAAGTATATTTCATAAGCTCGAAAAAGGAATGTATTCGAGATGTAACACTAACTTGCACTGATCGTCGAGAAGGCATAGGAGACCGTTCGGTTTCCCTTCGATGAGATTAAGACACCCGGAGTTGTCGCTGTATCCTATGTCCGTCCATCTAATACCCTGCTTTCTGTATTCTCGTTGTTCGTATTGGAAAACGTGTTGATTAAAGTAATGTTGTAATTGTTCGTTCGCATAATTGATGCACAACTGCTCGAAACTGTTGCACGTTTTAAAGTCTTCAAAGCCAAATATGTCTAATACACCTATACTATTGCCTTGATGATCTCTGAGGGTATCTTTTTTCGAAAGCAGAGCATGATTCACCTAATAGAAGCGACACAAAAGCATTATTGCACGTGTCGTGCAGTTAATAACCACACAGTTACTTGCATAAACGAAGGCACTCCTATTATTACCTGTAGCACAATCCAATCAAATAAAGCTCCATACAGACACTTCGCCATGGCATCGCGTGCCGCAATCGCTTCGGGAAGCCTGTAGTTAATAACCAAAGTCTCTCCGGAAGCTCTCGCACGCTTGGCGGTGAGTGCGGCCAACAGAGTTTCCTGCTTCACTCGGAGAAGCTCCGATATCAATGCAACTACTTCCGGATTTTTAACGCCTACAGCTTCATCGTGATGGTGATACGACTTTCTCGGGTAAAATTCAACGTTACCTAAATCAAGAATGTAGAGTTATTTTACGTTACACGTTCAAGCAGTTGACGGCATGCGGTACGGATGATTCATTCGATAATCACCTAGCAAAAGGACTGCCGACAGCACTGCGAAGAGCCGCCTTTGCTTCTCTGCTGTGAAGCCCACCATTTCCATCGACTGTTTCAATCTCGAGAATTCGTGTCGTTCGTCGACATTTTCCAGCCCGTAGCAACCGCTCTTGTTTAAGTAATTGTACCGATCGCAGCTCTCCAAGTGCAATAGCTGTTTCTCTTGCTCGTTCGCGCCAGCCAACAGGTAATAAAACACGTGATAATTCCTTTCATTTCGTCCTTGGGAAACAATCCTCGATTTTTCCAGAAGGTATTTTTGAACCACAGCACTACAAAACGTACGTCATTTACGTCATTTCCATTTTTACAGTTTATATTTGGAGAGTTTATCACCGTAGATTATTACTGTTTTGTTACATACCCGTGAACCATTCCATTTTCCTTGTAATTCACTTGGATGAATTTCCCAAAGCGACTGCTGTTGTTATTGTGGGCCGTTTTTGCGTTGCCGAACGCCTCGAGAACCGGTCCAGCGCTGAGTATCGTCTGCTCCACACCGCTGCCATGCGAACCCTTTTGACTGAGTGCTGTCAAATGGTGCAACAAGAAATTCGTCGATTCCGTTTTACCAGAACCGCTCTCACCGCTGATAACGATACACTGATTCTTCTTCTCCTTAAGCATACAGTGATAAGCTGCATCGGCTATGGCAAATATATGAGGAGGTATGTCTGGACCCAATCTTCTGTTTTGATATAGCTTAACATATTTCGGATTGTAGATGGGATAGAATTTGAATGGATTCAAGGCAATCAGTATGCTGCCAACGTAAGTGTATATGTTGCCAGCCAGAAACCTTGCCCTCAGATTATCCAACAGCGTTTGCTCATTCAAATCCGGAAGCTGACACAGATCTGGGTATTCCTTGTCACGTGGTTGATAAAGGAATCTGTTAAAATAGTCCTTTAGGAGCTGAGGATCCATGGGAAACCTGCTGTCAGACCATAAGTAGTCCGGTTGCTTTTTTCGTAGGTAAAATCTGGAAAATAAAAAGACGAAAATTGTTTCGTGAGAAATCGCCTTCAAATCAAAAAGCGTGATTGACAGCACAACGTAAATATGTATCGGAACATAATAGACCTGTAGTATTCTTGCTGAGTATCATTTTTTGGCCACAGTAACATGAGTGCTACGGGACACTCGGTGGGGCCAAGTCTTCTTTCCTTACATTCCTGACCGACAGAATTCCCTACCACTTCTGCTAACTCATAGCCATTCGAAACGGAAGCGTCAACCAGTCCGAGTCTTTCAATAATACATTCTACTATCTCGGCTGACGATGTTTGTTTCGTGGCTTTAATGGAGAGCGCCTCATATTCAGGGCTCCATTCGCCCACAAATACTTGCACTACTCCAGACCCACTGTTGTCCATTTTTTCTTAACCCTGCGATCATCACAATTGCAGAGGTAAAAGATAATCCATTATATTATTAGAATCAGGCAGAGAATTAAAATTTTAACAGCGTACCTTGTATTGAAGAGGGCTAGCAGCAAGTGTATCCTCTATCATCTACATAATATTTCAAATACGTTGTTTCTCCTTCTTGTTGACTCGTTATGTACAACCACTGATTCAAGCGTTTAAAATAATTATTATACATTTTGTTTTACAAGCTCGCAACGTCAATGTTTATGATTATTTACACGCGTTAATCCTACTATACTTTTCATACGAGATTTGGAACGTTTACCCTTGCCAAATTTAACACTTGCCAATTGGCCAGGTTTCAAGAGGTAATCAACTTCAATTATACGTATCACTTAAAGTTTTTTAAAAATAAATTTATGTGATATAAAATAAAAATTTGTATCTCTTTTGGTCATAAAGCATATTATCCATAAGAAATAGTAAAGCCTTTCCAAATTATTTCTAGGTTCTTTCTCGATATATATATATCGTAGAGTATTCCAACCGTTGGTTAATAATTATTAATGTAATAAAAAATAGAGTCGTTAGAGTTATCTTATTCCTTTCTTTTTTTTGTTTTGTTTATAGGTTTATGCATTCAGTCAATTCGATAGGTCCTTGTTCCTGATTTGTTCATTAAGAGTTAGAGTATTTTTAGAGTCGTAGAATAGCCTGTTTTACTTGAATATCATGCGTTTAACACGGACTGTCCATTGGAACCTCCCCGACGGCATTTAAATTATTATCACAACATTCACTGAACAGGTGACAAGCGTGGGTGTACTATTGTTGGTAGGCAGTAACTTAGTTTCCTTGTTCTGACAAAAATCCAAGGTCTTCAGGGTATTGCAAATATTCTCGTGCCCCCTCTTGAGTATTTCAGCATATTTATTGCAATAGTTTACGGTCGCATTATTTCCACCTATTGCACAAAGCTTTTTTTCTAAGTCAGAAAAGTGTCTTATCTGAAAAAAAAAAAAAAAAAAAAAGAATTCATATACAACATATTAACATGAAGAGGGATGCAAAATATTGGATTATGTTTTACAGCCATCTGATAACATTCAGAAATTCAATCGGTATATTCAAGTATAAATGCCCGAGATTTCGTTTGGTACTACGGGAAGATCTCAAATCGACACAGAGGATATCACGTTACACGCGTATAAAATAAACCAATCCTCATTTTAGTTATACGATATAACGCCTCTCTCAGCGCGCGACGTGAACGAGAATGGAACAGGTGCAATGCATTTCTATTTTAAACGAGCCTGTCAAGATAGAACGCACATCGTGAATCGTGTAGGAGGAACGACGAGGGCTATTAGAACGGCTATTAAAAGCGAAGACGGATAAGAATAATTGAACTTTTCCGATCGTTTTTTTTTTTCTTTCTGCCGCGCGCGCTGGAGTTCACACACACTCGCGTGTCTCGCGATTTCGACGGCACGCACGTGTCGCGCGTCGCGACGTCGAGGATGCGACGGTCGAATTTAAAAATATCCCACTTCCAGCCCGGAACGTTTATTCCTTTTTTTTCTCCGACGAAAAAAAAAAAAAAACCAGCGCTCGCCCGCAAATATAAATCGGCACCACGGCGTGGTCCTCGCGCGAACGCGAGAAAAACACGGGAGTCGCGCGCCCCTCCCGCGGTCCAGCAGCAGCGGGGCTCTCTCTCGAGGCGAGATCGGATCGGCGACGGGACGGGATTGATCGCGCCTCGCGTTCGCAACACGTTCGTAAAAAGGAATGCTCTCGCGCGCGCGAGAGCGGTATTTACGTTTCCGCGATACCGCGGCCGCCGTCCGTTCCTCCGCCGCGCCGCGGCGGACCGCGGAGCGTGGGGAGCCGCCGCCGCGGCCGAGAGACGGCCGTATGACATTTGGATACGGCGGGGCCTCGCAGCCGTGCAGATTGGCGGGTCACGGACCCGACGGACCGTGGCCTGCCGCCGATCGGGGGCAGCAGACCGACCGCGCCGTATCGACGAGCCCCCCCCCCCTCCAATACGTCACATGATAAAATCCCATATACACACACACACACACATACACACGCACTTCGCAAAACGTCGCAGGAGTTTCTAGAGCGAGAGCTGAATCACGGAGTGCGCCGCACGCACGATATCACCGCGAAGGAATGCATCGTGTTGCGAATTGCGAGGCATGCGTGCTCGTTCACTCGCTCGCGTGCATGCATGCGTGTATGGCGTTCACTCGGCGCTCGGCCTTGCGATACTTTTGGCATTTGTTCGTCGTTACCTCCTTCGCCGATCGCGGGATCCACGTCGCGACGCATCCTGGTCCTCCGGGAGCCACGGGGCCCGCGCGGTGCGCTCGGGCATGCTGCCGCGGGCCGGAGACCCGCCGTCGTCGCCGTCGTCGTCGTCGTCGCCGCTGCCGCGTGCGGGAAATAAGGCCGCTGTCCTGTGTGTCCTCGCGAGGTCCGTCCGTTCGCCTTCTCCCCTTCACGCATCCGCCGCCGAGCCCGAGCCGAGTCTCGCGATCGGCCGCGGCTCCGCGGGCCGATCCCTCACGTTGTTGCTGAACAACGTGCGCACGCCGCCGCTCGTCGCACCGTCGTCGTCGGCACGCACACGTCCTCCACGGATGGACCACCAACGAACGCCGCGCACGACCGGCCCGCTCGCGGTAGGCGGTCGCGCCGACGTCAACCGTGCCTCCGTTTTCCTCGGTGCGGTCGGCCCCGGGCGCACGGCGGGACGGGTACGGCGGACACGCGCGCGTACACAATACGGGCGCGGGCTGACACTTTGGGGTAAACACGCGCTGATGTCGAGGCGCCCGATCGAGAGGCACACACACCACACACACCGTGATCGGAGGGGAGATCGATTCGCGCAGCGCGCAACGCACACCGGCTGCTGGCTGCTGGTGGCCGTCGCCGCGGGGACGCGCTTCCAAATCGCGGCGAGATTCCACCTGCCGCGGCACCTCCTCGCGCCGAGATAGCCACGCTCGCCCGCCTCGCGGGGATTCACGCACGGTCACCGGATCAACACGGGACGACGGGGGCCCACAAGCCCAGGTTTATCGTCCTTCGTCACCGCACGGGATCCTGCGTCCCGATACGTCCACCATTTCGATTTTTTCGATCACGTGGTACGCGCCGGCGGCCGCCGATTGGTAGCGCCGGGCACGGCGACGTGAGTGACGTGACCAGTCGCCGATGCGCCTCCGCCGTTCGAACGCCATTCGGCCCGGAACGCGAGACCGCGACCGCTTTTAGAGCCGTCTGCCGCCGGCACGGCGAAACCTCTGCCCGCGCGAGTCGCTCTCTTTCCCTCTCTCTCTCTTCTTTATCTTTCCCTTTCGCACGACTGTCAGACTTGTAGAGCTGACACAAGTCGGTGTACGTGATCGATTTCGCGCGACGTGTCGTCGGGGTCGATGCGTAATCGTCGCATCCGAGTCATCCGATACGGAATACGAGATACGTCATGACGAGATACGTCGTTATCGACTCGAAAGTATATTCGTGACGACAGGACGACTGTCCGCGCGCATGCGCGCGGCGACGAGGGAAGATTTCCTCGCTGCTCTCTCGCGCACATTCGAACCGGATCTCGATTACCGACGCGCGGCTGATGCGCGGGATCGGCCGCGAGAGGGCGCGATCAGTTCGGCGGCGACCAGCGGCGAGCAGGCGAGTCGCGAGGCGCGCAAAGTTCGCAGAGACGCGCGGATGCACGCAGAATCGAGCTGAAACTATAGTGGTTCGTATATCGTGATTATCGCATTAAACGGCGGATGTGCATGCATACATACGTTTTGTCTTCAAATGCGCGCCGACACTTGCGTCGCGTACGTTTATCGCATTTACACGAACCGCTCGCGTACCGCCGACGCGTATCTCAAAATGAGATACGCGTCGGAATTTAAGAGAAAAACATGGCGGTTCTCTCCCGTTAGATCGATCTTCTCTCTCTCCTTGCGTCTTCCCTTTCTCGCGATGTACATCGACAAGATCCGAAGAGAAGACCATCACACGTACATACGTACAAAAATTTTAATCACGTAACCTTAAATTCGTGTAAGCATATTGACATCGCAGTCAATCACAATCAAACATTCTAAAACGCAAGACTGCAATTTTGATTGCGATATATTGGCCAATTTGCGGCCTTATTGATTACGATTAAAATCTTTGTACGTGAGATGAAGATTCTTGAGAGAAAAAAGAGACACGGGTCGATACGCGTTAGACAGTCGATAGAGCGAACTCGTGCAATAACGCTTGCTGCAATCCGCAGGAGGATCAGTCGCGCGGCTCGTTCGCGTTACTTTTCATCATTCCGGTCCGTTCAATGGCGCGCGGGCTCGTGCATTTTTTACAAAGCAATCGGTGGCATAGACGGGGTCAATTGCGGGTTAAGAGTGGAGGCACGCCGACAATGGGAAAATGTGCGGCGCCGTTCGGGGCGCGCACGTTCGAAACGCGGCGTGCGACATCCCGGATGACGTCGCGGCGCGCGCGTCCGCTTTGTTTCTATAACGCGCCGCACTTGTTTCGAACGCACGACGGCCAGAGTTCGAGTGGGAGGTGGGGATTATAAATTATTCATCAGATTCAGGCGATAATCAATTACGATGACGCGATAGTCAAGCGGTGCAAAATTCGTGGCATCTCTTAATATACGTTTCGAAAGGCACGAGCGCGCGCCGGTGTTTGTCCGCGCGACGAAACGTTAAGCATCGTCTCGTAAATTATTATACATATATACGTTTATCTTGTTAAATCGTCGTTTTGCAATTGCAGATTGTGACCTTTGACTATATAAGTATGGACTGATAATAATTAACTTCACACGTGTCGCCAAGCTGGAAGATGTAGACTCCACCTCAGTCAGTAATTTTCTGCGGGGAGGGGGAAGGCTCCTGTGAAATCAGCGTGTTTACGACGTGTAAAGAAAAGGTGCTGAGTTTGTTTTTAATTTCATTCCGTCGATTTGAGATTTTTTTTGGCTCCCTATCAATTTTCAACATAACATTTAATACATTTTGACAGATATTTGATATTTTTTTTACTGACTGGGGTGGAGCCTAAAAATCGAAGTTCGATACCTCAACCAACTTCAGCTCGGCGACACTGGGCATATGTTTTTTACATAGTAAAATCGGGGGGACTAGCAGTCCATATTTATATAATCAAAGATTGTGACACAGTCGCGCGACGCGAGCGATCGACGCTGCATCGTCGTCTCGTTCTCGGAGATCCATTTGCAGCATCGCGATATCTTTCCTCCTGTCCATCGGAACAAGTCCGACTCTCGGGAAGCCGCGCGGCGGCAGGTAATTTAACGGTGATCGATGGCGGGTTGGGATGTCACGACGCCGCGATTACCTTCATCGTCGGGATAGGCATCTCGGAATATAGTAACGGAATGCCACACGCCCCGGTATTAATGGTCCGTGTGTAACACGGAGAATTTCGGTATCGGCGTTTCTGGTCCCCCCCGGCGCGCGTCTGCAACATTAACGGAAGTGGCGCGTCGGCGCGGCTGATCAATACGCGGCTTGCGCGACCGCTGGCACATTTTGCCATCGGTCAATCGCGTTTGCATAAAAAAAAGCGGTGTTGCTGCATTATTTAAATGTTTTTCCACAAAGACGTCAACGTCGATTAAACCGGATCTATTTGCGGCACCGCAACCTCTCGTTGCTCCTCTTAATCGGGGGATCTTCCGTCAATTCTCCGTCACGAGGCGACGTATTTACGCGCACTTTTTTTTTATTTTGTTTGGCTCAAGTCGACACAAATTTCTCGAGTGTCGACAAAATATGAGACGCGTGTTTTTATTACGCTATAAATGTCAAGGTTTAAAGAGGTGAAACATCCCGTCGAAGTTCGACGATAAAATTCAGCTTTTTCTGCAACGTTTTTTTTTTCAGAATTTATTGCGGAAAAATGATTTCGGCCGTCGAAATTTGAGGGAGATGTTTCACACCTTTAAATCCCTGCCGGCATTTATGAAATAAATACACATATCTCATATTTTTTAATGCCACGCAAATCTGTATTTTGACTTTAACAAAAAAAAAAACGTTCTGAAAGAAAAATATATTCTCTTGTAAATTCCAAATGTTTGCAATGTTTAACGCGATCGATTTGCGCGTAAACGACACGCGGAATTCGCGTGTTAAAAACGGTTTGACGTAGTCCGCACGTGTCACGTAGAAAGATATTATTCGATCTCATATATGCGTTTCATATAGGGATGTTTCAATTAGTCGTGAATTCGACGGCTTGACGCGCCCACCCCGTGACATAAATCGGGTCGCATTATCGCAAATAATTGTATCGATTCCGCGAGAGGTGGGAGAGGCGCGGTAGCTTCGGCGATATCCCGAGAACGCGCTATATATTGCTATTTGCCGTCCCGATATAAATGTTTCGTACACGCGCGCCGAGTTACCTGGACCACTCGTGCACGCGCGCATATTACGCATCGCGCGTTTATTACGATATCCGCGCTTCGTATTCACGCGCTCCGCACGTTTACCTTTATGCATTGTATAATCGAATGCAGAATCGAATCCGCCTCTTTTCCTGCCGCTCCTCACCTCGCCCCCTCCCCCGGTTTTTTTTTCCTCTTTCATTTCCTTTCTGCACGATCGCGAGTCTGGAGTCCGCGGAGTCGGCAATACTCGAAGCCCGCAATCCCCGAGCTAAATCGTTTCCACAGCGGATGCCGTGCGCTGTTTCTTTCATTTTTTTCCCTTTCTATATAAAAATCCTTTTGTCCTCGCGGCCTCGCACGTTTCACACACGTGACGCCGCTCGTCCGCGGCGCGAGTCCCGCGACCGCATCGAGATGGGATTGTTGCCATTTGACAGGCTCGCAATTTAATTACGCTTCAAATTACATACCGATTACGAATAATTACGAGAATGAAATTCTCAAACGTGGCGAGTATCTGCATGAATTTCGAAGCGCCATCCATGATGTAGAAAGGAAAAGAGGAGAAAAGTATCGGTTCACAGTACGTCACATCAAAGCTACACGAGGACTATATAATCCGGTCACGTGTGGTAATCGTTATTGATAAAGACACTATGTTATCTGTTATACATATGGGCATATACGGCGATACGCGAGTCGGTAAAATCGCATCGAGGCTTCCCCTCCACGATATTTTCGCATTTTCAGAATGTTTTTTTCCCTTCCGAAAAGCGGCAGGTATATCTGACACAACAATCGTTGTTTGCATGGCACGTGGAATAAAAAGCTTATATCAATGTATGACGGCATGCGCCGTGATGTTCGACGAGAACGTCATTGCTGCCGTGCACGATGCATTTCTTATTGATAACTGCGAAGCATGAAAGACTATTTATACCCCAGGCCTAATGAAATTGCTCTACATCGAACCGACGAAGCTTCGTTGACGAAGCTGTCGGATCCGTAAATACGAGTCGATACCGAGAACTTTCCTCCGTATTTAGAATCTGATCATCAGCACGTGTAAGTGTAATTTGTCGCCTTATAAACTCAAGCGCGTTATGAACCTATAAATAGCGAGTTTCTACATATGTCGAAATCGTAAAATACAAGAAATGATTTCTCATAAATAGTCAACAAAATAAATTAACTGGCAATTTTTTTTAATTTTTTTAATGCTCTAAAATATGTTACAAAATATTTGTACACTGAGAGAAAAAAAAGTGTTAAATAAAAAAATATATTTCTTGATTGAACTATTTACGTTGGCCACGGGCTGTCAAACAGTTATTTGTTAATTCACAAAAATATCATGTAATGTTGTTGATGTATATTTAACTCAAAAACATTGTTTAATTGAATCAAAGAAAAACTATCGCATTAAAGAAAAACGCAATTAATTATTTCAACAGTATTTTTCCTCAGTGTAAGGATATTGTAATAATACTGACAGTATTTTTATGTAAAGATATTTTTTATTCAAAAGTTTTTCTCTGAAAAATTTATGAAGATCCGGATATATTTACAATACATAAATATAATGCGCATTCGATATTATAAAAATTTATGTCGGATATATTTCTCCTTAAATCTTCTTTATAATTTTGATTAATCTCCGTCCGAATACATAAAAGATTGTTCAATTCATAAATTTTTAAACAAATGTATCAAAAGGAACACGTATGTTTTATTTTGTACGATTTTACATGAAGCTTATGAAAATCACGCAGCGAGAGCGCAAACTTTGTTTCTTCAGTAGTACGAGTCAGTAGCGCGACTCGCGAGCGCAGCGAGTCGTGCGCGAGCGGGACTTACTACTTGCTGAGGCGCGACGCGCCGCGCCGTTAACGCGGCCTAACTACTTGCACTACGGCGCGCCGTTCGCGCGTCCCGTCATCCGCATGTCGTACGCGCTTCAAAAATCCGTTCGCCGACTTGAACGGGGAGAGGGGAGGATAGATTGCAAAATTAATTAAAGATCGAGTATCTTCATGACAATGTGCAAAATTTTCTTATCGCGGCGTCGCGATAGGACGGATAGCGGTAACGTCGTTCCGCGGCCGGTATTTACAGAGAGACTATCGAATATCAGACATTGCGTGTGCCACGGCTCGTTCAACCCCGCATTTACGACCCTTTCTCACGCTAACGTGAAAACAGTTTACACAGGCATATCCTAATGAACCAATTTTCCATCTGAAATACTAACGCCCGTGAATTTTGGCTAATTTTGGGAACAGCCCGCGACCGCGCTGTATATATAATTCGCTTATTATTCGTTCTGGCCGCGGCGCGGCAATTATTTGCAGAGTAAAATTATTTCGGGCACGTATTGTTATATTGGCGCGGAGAATGTGGCTCAGTAATTTTTTTGTTCGTTACAGCTGCATAAATTCAATCGCGCTCGGCAACATGCAACATGATTTCAGTCTTCTTTTTATAGCCTTTCGTGATGGCGACGGGATAACGCTTTATATTCCAAGTAACTAGAGAGATCGCCATCGCCTCGTAAAGTAATCACGGATGGCGGTGTAGGCAGCTGTTATCGGAATTAGGCATCTTACAGCGAGACTAATCTCCTCTCTTTCTCTCTCTGCATTACAGCTGTGCGAAAACCAGTCCGCGATGTGCACTCACGCTCCGGAAATTCGAGGGAAACTCGACGGCATCGCTAATTAGGATCACTTAGCCTGCTCACGGGTGCGAACCGATTGCGAGGATCGACTCAACTTCCAGGGAGGTGAGTTCAGTTTTTCACGTTATAAAAAAAAAAAGAAAACATGCACGGCCGAACGCGTCTCACGCGAAATTATGCGATGTAACTTCTCGAGGAGAATCTCGAGGCAAATCCCCCTGGGTATTCGAATATTTATTCAAGGGATTTTTGGACGTAAAAGTAACGTTCGTTCGAGCGCCGTTGTAAATCGGGGGTAGAGACAGGGGTATCCAATCTCTCGAATTCCGAATCGAGATCGCGTTCGAAGCGGGCCGGGTCCGCAACGATTTCTCGAAGACGTTGCACCCCCTGGAATGGAAGCGAATGCATCGTCGAAAGAGGCAGCCCGCCGACGGTGCGGCGGAGAAGGAGGGCCACGGGGGACCGGTGCGAGTGGCTTGCACCCCCGAGCGGGAAGAGGGGTGAGGGTGGCGAGACCATCGGTGAACCTCGCCACCGGGCCGCACCGTCGGGTGGCTCCGACGTCGCTCGGATCTGGCCGGCTTTATCAGCGCCGGCGCTGTCACCCCTTTGACGTAGCAAAATGGCGGCGGCGTGTCGGAGGCGTCTCCGTTCGCACAGTGCTCGACGTCGCGCAGTCCGCGTATGTTCGCAATAACGTTCCAGCAGATCAACGACGTCGGCGTCGGTGACAGATCGGGCGGCGGGTCGCATGCGATCGCGGCGTCGCGCTCCGATTACGCGCGCGAGACACGGTGGTTCCTCCTTCCGGCAACGCTGCACGTCGCTGACGCACGTTACTACTACCCCTCCTCCCCCCTCTGTGTACGGCGGAGCGAAGTCGAGTGCACGGCGTGCGGGTTCGACGCGGCTGCACCGCGGTCGACACGGAAACGGCGTGAATAAGAGCAGTGAGCGAGTGGTGCCAGGAGCGAGGGGGGGGAAAGGAAAAGAGAGAGAGAGAGAAAGAGAACGGTTCATTGTGTGGCTCGGTACGTGAGATATTCCCGGAGAGAGTTCCCGCGACGCCGCGTGCTTCTTCCGATCTTCGTCCCTTCATCCCCTTCTCCTCTCCCCCTCTCTCTTTTCTCTCTTTCTCTCTCTACCCATCAGTCGGCTCCGAATTCGGTCGCCCGGAGTACGCGGCTTTCTCTTTCCATTTCTTCCCATTCGCTCCCTCGTTCTCTCCCCTTTCTCTCTCTCTCTCTCTCTTTGTCTTACGTGCTCGGCGCTCTTTCACGGCACCGTAGTGAAATGCGCGTGACCGGTCGCGCCTCGGAACGACGGCGACGACGTGTCTGGCGTCGTTGGTGGTGCACGTTCCCCTGACGAGCACGAGAGACGCGCGACGGCGACTCGGCACATCCCCCGCAGCCCTCGCTACTATGATAATAACGAGAAGCACGGTGACGAGCACGGCGGCGGTGGCGACGACGACGACGACGGCGGCACGGTGGCCGTTTCCCCTGAAGCAAGAGACGCTCGGTCGAACTACTCGAACTTCCTGCAACGTCGGTGGAAAACGACGGCGATCAACGACGGATCTACATAACGACGCTGTCTCGGCGATGTTGCCTCGCGGTTGCGGCCGTCGCGTGGTACATGGGAACGACAACAGCAACAGGAACAACAGCAACACCATCGAGCCGCAGTGGATCAGCGGTAGCTGCACAGCATTCGCATCGGTACTGCCGTACTACTGCTACTACTACTATTATTACCAGCGTATCGCTTTTATCGGCATCGTAGCCTCATTACTCGCCAACGACGACGACGACGACGTCCGCGAGGACGACGATTTGACACCAGCACGAGTTCCGGAGCAGCGGGACGACGACTCGGCCGCGGACAACAGCGGGGCAACGACGAGCAGTGACGAGCGTCTTCTCGACCGCCGGAACGGACTTCTACGTTGTTGCGCGTGACCAAGAGCCTCGCTACTACTGCAGCTAGCCGAATCGGCGTGGATACGCGCGACGACACCGTGCACGGAGAGTGCGACGATGATTAACGAGGCGGCGTGCGAACGTTAATTCCGCACGGGCCGGGCTCCTCTCGCGATACGTACGTGGTAACGACCGATAGCGATAACAAGTCAATCGGTGGTAATAAACGCGTACAACAGTCATTCCCCGCGCCCGATCGATCGTCATCGCGCGCCGGTGTACAGAGAAAACAGTGTTACAGGCGGGCACATAGGAACTCGTGTCACGTACGGTCATCGGCCAGTGTACACACCGCTCGCGGCGGAGGGCGGGAGGGGGTGGACCAGGGGTATAGAAGCGACGAGGGAAGAAGGAGCCAGGTATCGTCGATCCAGATAAGCCGTGTTATATTCGCGACAAGGTACGGATGGACGCTTCGCCGCGGCCCCGCGGCGGCCAATCTGTGACGGACTGTAAACGGGATTTTCTGTTGGGAAGAAAGAAAAAATAAATAAATAAAAAATAGAGAGCACACACGTATCCCGGGGCGCCCGTTGACCGGTACCTTCAAGCTTTCGATTCGCGCGTAACCAGCGTGTACGTCGCGAACCATAAACACGTATTTCACACACATACCCACACACATACGTACACATATACATCTATATACGTGCGGATGCGACACGTATTTCGCGTTTGTATATTGTACGTAATAGAGACGTATAGTGAGCAAAGAGCAGGAAGATAAAGAAACCGGAGGACAGAGAAAAAAGACAGAGAAAAAAGAGAGAGAGAGAGGAAAAAAGAGAGAAAGAAAGAAAGAGAGAAAAAAAGAGGATTATTAGTGCGGAGTATCGGAGTATATACTTGCGTATCGTATATGTATACGAGACAGTGTATCTACACGAAGCCGGCGTAAACCAGCGTAACTTTCGCACGGATCTCTACATGCCGTATTAAGTGCACCGCTCGGCTCGATTAAGGGACAACTCGAAAGATCGAATCGAGCTAACGGGGGATCCGCCGATCATGTCGCTGCTCAGCGTAACGGGTGAGTCCCTCTCATTCAGCTCTCCAAAACTTGTGATTTATTGCACTTCCCGACGAGAATATAGTTATCAGAATTAATTGGGGAAACATCTGCCGGTAGATTTGTAATTAGGAATATAATAATAGGTATATAGGAAGCAGCCTGAGCCTCGTTAAATCCCTTCGAGCTTAAATTCTTTGAAAGATCTAAAATTATTATCGTGATTTTAAATTTATAAGTATTATGGCTAGTTATAAATATTACTTAAAAAAAATTTGTTATCTTTTTATCTCTCTTTAAATAATTACATTTTACAATAATTACAATTTCAAATAATACACTTAATATAGAGAAGAAAAAGTTGAACGAGCCATTAAATTTGTAAACGTGAGAATGCAGACGCGATTGAGAATCACGTCGAAATTTGTCGTTAAAAGCTCCACAGTTCGGAGCAGCGATACAGCGCTATTAAATTCTCGCGCAAAAAGCGGCGGCTGGCTGAAAATAGTTCCGACTTCTTTACGAGGTTTTCGTCGGAGATAAAAACTCCTTCCTGTTGGAAAAGTTCAAAGAGGATTTTCCGGCCTTTCCCGGATTTGCGTGTTGCGAAAAGGGGTGGAGGGGGGAAAAAACGCAAACTCCGGAAGTAGCGCGTGGTATCAATCATTGTTGCGCCACCGGGAGTCGGACACGGTGAGGAAGGGAGGGAGGGGGAACGAGTTAAAGCGGGACGCGTGATGTAATTAGTGCTAATGAAATCGCTAATCGCGTTAATTGGAGACACGGCCCGCGATGGCATGCCGCCCGCGACGCGGGCATTAAGGTATACGCGAAAAAGTTTCTCGTTTACATTTCTCGCCGCGCGTTTATATTCTCACCGGACGAGGTGGTGCTACCTCGCGCGATGCACTTAATTTTCAGCGATACCGTAGAGAAATTACAATGCTGCAGCCGGATTATAATCTAGCGACACGACGACGTGATACTGTTGCGCGATACGCGCGCGGAATCGATCGGCTGCCTTTACCGTTATCGCGCGCATCTCTCGTTCACATTGTCTCGCCGCGTATCGCGCTCGATTATCGACTTAGAAGCGTGATTTATACAACGTCTTGCGTCTCTCGCGGATACATGTGTGTACACGTGCATATATACACACACACACATACAAGTCACTGAATACGGACGTTATACGTACCGTATGAATCGATATCGAAACGTCATGCGATAGCACGTAACTGTAACTTGATTTTATGATGGATGCAGGACGGTTATATCCATCATAACTTAATATAACCGCCAAACGGATAGATATCTGCTGTGCCAGGCGGAAAATATATAGGCGCGGCCGGCCAAGAAATATAATCGGCGCGTAAACCGATTTCCAAGGCGGGAAAGCTCACTGTTCCGCGGAGTAGCTGCGCGCGCGATACTCAAATCTGACTTGACTTGACGTTGCGAAATAATCCAGCGCTCGCGGAAGAATCCCGCCGGAGAGAAGATATACATATACAAATTTCGTACATTTTTACATGTATCGCCCTCGTGCATCTTCCGAGAGATAGCTGTACTCCGTATAGAATTATTAATGTCTATAGTTCTCCGCGAATGGCTTATAATTTTGATACGCGTTCTACTAGCACGTGATTCGTTATATCTGAGATTGGGAACGTCGACAATTGTTAGTATTGGACTTTCTTGTGCGTTAAGTTATTATAATAACGGCATTATCAGATTTAAAGAATATCGATATTTCGATACTTCGTCAAATGGGATGCTGTGCAGTTTCAAATGCTCTCTCGTTCGATATATTTTTTTTTTCCAGCGGGTCTGAAACTCGACGGGCAAAATAGCAAATAACTGCGTTACGACATATCTTTGCCGGTGTTACATGCCACGGGGCTTTAACATGCATTGTTCACGCGTGTGGATCTAGATGGAAATACCTCTTCTCTCTCTCTCTCTCTTTCTCTCTTTCTCGAGTTTCTACTTTCTCCCTATACTTCGCATAGGCGAGTGTTCGGGTGAGATAGCTGTGACATCGTCTAGGCGAGAGGATCGTTCGAGGGAGGTGGGAAACCCGGAGATACATCGGTTGACAATAACGAGAAATAATGCTCGGCGTCTCGTCGTCTCGCCATCCTCATCCCGCGGGTATTCATAAATATCGCCACCGCGTTGACGGCAGTGCGCAACATACCTTCGCCACGTACACGCACACACATATGTATGTATATACATACATACATAGATACATACATATATATATATATATATATATGTGTATTTCATACATATACATATATACATGATAGCAAAACAAGGAGGGACAACCATCTGACTCAGGTGCGCTCAGGTGGCTTCCTTCAGGCCTGTGTACATACATGACACGCCTAACCCGTATATCAGAGCGTGCGAGCGAACGAGGCTCGTCCATGACTATGAGACACGGAGAGCATAGTGCAACGGTTGACCCCGGGTACGCGGGGTCATTCCCTCCTTCAGCTACCGCCGCTTCGACCCCACTCGCCGCCCGCTACCGCCACCCCCTACCGCGGCTCTTTTTTGCTACCCTCTCCCCCGCCTCCCCTTCCTGCTACCCTACCGCCGCCCTTTTCGTCCTCTGCCTTTGTCTTCCTAACCGCGACCCGCTACTATCGCAACCACCTCCGCGATTCACCTCCTCTCCCTTTCCTTCTCTCTCTCTCTCTTTCTCTCTCTCTTTCTCTCTTTCTCTCTTACCCTGCTTGTCGGGTAAACGACGAGCAGCGATGTATCTACCAGGTGGTACGACCTATGTAAACCCTCCGGTATATACTACCGAGTCGAGCAAGCTTGGATTTTCTCTCTGTCCGTGCAGTCAAGGGACGAAGTTAAGCACGGAAAACCGGTGTTATACATCGCAGCGATTGTTGCTCGTCGGTGGTCTCTCTTTCTCGTTCGTGCCTCTCGTGCTTCCCGCGCGTTCAGAAGACGAGCGGGATTTACAAAGAACTCCGGGCCGACGTATCGTTATAAGGAAAAGGCGGCAATTTGCGCGCGGAAACAAGCGATCGGACTTAAGCCGCGCGCGCCGCCGTTGGCTGTGATTAAAGCGAGCTTGTGCTTTGCATACGGTTGATTTATCTCTCCTTAGTTTTAGATTTAGATCCTCCAGCGCGGTTAAAGCAATTCGTTCGTTCCGGAGTTATCTTTGAAGGATAAACGGTCTTGGGGAGGTGTAGTCTCAAAGTATTCGGGACGAGAATGCGCGAAACGCTCTTAAAATATTTGAACAATGATTTAAAAGGGAGTACGTTTCAACCGTATACCTACGTACGTACGTATGTAGAGAGAGAGAGAGAGAGAGAGAGAGGGAAAGAAAGAGAGAAAAGAGGGGGAGGAAGATGTAAATTCTTTCTGGAGAGAAAAATTCGCGAGCATTTGCGTAAGAAAAAGTACCGTCGTAAAAACTACAACGATAGCGTCGGACAAGAAGCGATAGCGTAAAAGCGAGAGGAAGTCCGCGAGGGGCAAGAAGTGATTGAAGAGTGCTGTCACATGAAAAAGAAACTCTTTCGCTCTTCAAGCTCAATCCACTCTCAGACTCCTTTTATACTTATAATCATCTTTACTACCACCTAGTAAGCAGAGTTCGTCGCGGGCGAGAAGACTCTTTGCGCGTGTCTTCTTGATCTCTTGAAAGCTTGATTTTTTAAAGAAACGTCTGAATTCCTTCTTATGTCCCTCGGGACGTCCAAAAGAAACGCGAGGAGAAAGGGGGTAGGGACGTCCTCATTTACAACGACAAGTGCGATTCGAGATGTCTCATGCGCTGTAAAAAGTTTAGCCGAAATTCGAGAGGATTTCCTTTAGACGTGGTGATTTTTTCGGCGTGTTTTCGGCGTGACACAGCGTTGTCATTGTAAATCTCCTCGTTATAATTCCCCTTTTCAGCGAAAATACAACAGTTTCAATGGCGACGTCTCTCTGGCAGAGACCTACTTTCTTTCTATCGTTCCCACGTCGCGCATCGCTCGCTCGCTCGCTCGTGTAGGGCCGCATATTTGCGCGCTGCGTCTCATCACCGTGACGCCGGAAATGTGTCATCGTTAATGGAGATGAAACGCTCGCAATAACGATGACAATGCGTTTTATTCGCGCGGGCTTTTATTTCCGCGTGTTGTCGCGCAAAATCGTACCAGCGCGCCGTGCCGCTGATTGGGACAGCAGCATTTCCTCTTGTAGAAAAAACAGTGAAGAAACACAAAAAATCTAAGAGAGGTTACATTTTGACACGTATTACACATTTTGCACTAAGCTATTTCTTCAAGAAGCTGTTTTGCATAATTAATCGTCTTTGATTGCGAATATTTCAATTTGCAAAATTGTAATAAATAAATGTGAGTGTAGTGTGGTTGCGACTTTGCAAGTGATTATTTTATCTTATTTTATTTTATTTCTTTATTTCTTTCTTATGTATTATCATATAAATGTTGTAATTGTTAGTTGATTATTTTTCTTATGTGTAATATTAATAATTATAGTAGATAGGCACTATAATCCTTGCTGACGCTTAACCTTTTGATGCGTAATACTCTTCTTCTTCTTTCATTCTTTCTCGGTATTTATGTAATGGAAATAAAGAATTATAATAATAATAATTATTATTAAATCTGTTTTGATTAAAGTGTACGACGTTTGATAATTGAAAATGATTATCTAAAGCAGAATTTCTCAGAATTTCCTAGCAACGATATTGGAATATTTTCTGTG